GAAACCGGTCAAACCCGGTTCTTTCCGGTTCTTTCCAGTAGCCGCGGCCGCCTTGCGTGGCTTTGCGCTGCGCGGCGGTGCCTCTGTTGTTAGTAGTATACAGGGTATGAAACAAATACTATTTCAAAGAGGGGGCTGCATTTAACCGTTTCGCAGCCCCCAGCTTCATCCAGCCCGAGCTTGTGAGGGCTGGACTTGAATGTGGGAGCTGCGATAAGGTAAAATAAAGCCCCCTCTGCGAAATGGTATTTGTTTCATACCCTGTATACGACTTATTGAAATTTTTCTAATTCTGTTGTGTGACAGAGAAAATGGCCCTTTAGTCAGAAAGACGTGGAAATAATAATTATAGTGAAACGCTGGCTTTAAGAATTATACTCCCTTGTTCGAATTTTTCTTAAATCGTCCATTCATTCTTGCATAGTCGGCGTATCGCGAAAGGCTGGCCTTTAGCGCTACCATCCAAACGTGGGTAGATTTGTCCGACACAATTTTTTATCACCAAAGTTTAACGAGCAGAGTAAATAGAACACGACTAAAGATAGAAAAGTAAACAATTACCGTTTAGCCCGAACTACAGCTGTTTTAATTAAGTGTTGCTCTCTTTTTTAAAAAGAAAAAAGGGAACTTACTTTTAAAGATCACTGAATTTGATTTCTTCCCTGAAGTTTAACCCTGCTAGCACTGAGCAGTTTTATTTCAATTTGTTTATCGATCGGCCGTTAACGGTTGTTGCTTTATTTCTAGTTCACCGTGCTATAACATAACAAAGACTTTTTTTAGCAAAATGCTTAACTAACATTTTGTTACCGGGGAAACCCGTTCATCAGATTTAGCGTTGTTTGCTGCACGGTCGAAGCCTGTTGATACTGAATGATGAATTGTTAAGGCCATTACTAACTTTTCAAGGCTGTTAGTTCATAGTTCGAGTTTATTTTACAGCTGTAAAATAGGCCATCTCCCGAGATGCCTTTGGCTCTGTGTCAAAGCGAGTCTTGGTGCGAAGTCATTGATACGAAAATGTGTTCCCCTTTCAGGTTCATTTTCATGCAAATAAAACTCATTTTCATGTGAGTGGTTTTAAACAAGGACTCGTTTTGAAACAGGCCTGTTAGAAGCACATCTTGCTTAATTTTTTTAAAAACAAAGTTGTTCCCAACGGTCATGTTTTTTAAACCTTTTTTTAATATGTCCAAAACGAAGTACACCGGATCAATAAAAGGCTATTTTTCAGTTGTGATAATGACTGTGAACAAAAGATGTTTTAATAGGCTGACTCAGTGAACAAAATTTGTTTAAACAGGCTGAAAAGAACAAAAACCCCGAATATTTCTTACCCGAATCAGCTGCGAACATGATCGAGTTTATTTTATAAGGTTATCATCTTTTCATTCCCTCTGTTTTCTTTCTCCGGATAATGGAAATCTTCGGACGTGATATTTTCATGCCAACAATTCGCGAAGGTTAGAGGTAATGTGAGAATAAAATGACTATAATCGGACCAAAAACACTACAAGAGGCTACGACTTGCTAGCTACATTGCGGAATGAATTAAGCGGTCTTTCCTAATTTCCGAGTTCCTAGTAACAAATTCTGAAAAGAAAAATGCTATTTGGCTCCTAATCGCATCTACAACGAAATTCTCTTTCGTGATTGGTTTTCCGCGCGTCTATTCGACAAGGAATCGGGTTTTTTTTCATTTGGTCGGTTATAAAGTTCCTTGTAAATGGTGCAGGTCGTCCCTAAGGCTTATCTGCCGTTAGATTTCACCGCGATCAATCGTTTTCAGGTCTGGTGGTCTGAAAATACTTCACCGAAATCAATTGACCGTGAAGGCCTGGGAGGAAGCTGTACGGGAACTGGCCACGGGCAACAGCTCCTTCAGAATAAAGGTTACCAAGATAGCCAAAGAACCTTTTCGCTGCTAGTTAATCGCTTTCCTCGTAGATGGTTTCGCCGGCATATAGCTGTACTTTCGCGACGTGAATTTGTTTCAAAGTGCGATTTACAGGTCCATAGTAATTCGATACGGATCCCTTGCGCGGAAAAAGTCAAAAAGGCCTCTGGAAACGTGCCTAACTGAGATTAACATCCATAAACGCGCAAAAAAGAGCTCGGTCAATATCCTGAACCGCCTTGACCTCACTAGCAATTACATATAACCACAATAATTTTTTACTTTTTTACGTTCCTTTATAGGTCTTCCTGGATAGCTACAGTGAACAATGTTGCCCTTGAAAACGGCAAGGAGAAGTCTCTGTGAAACATTGCACAGAAAGATGCTTCAAGCAGTCATATTATTGGCGATATTAACGCTCTCAATTAACTGGTATTTTTTCGGCTATGGGAGATTGTGGAGTGACAGAATCGTGTTCAATAATTTAACAGACACTCAGGGAGGAGACCTTGGTGAAGAAATACGCACAAATAATAATGAACAAACAATTTCATTTGAAAGAATTCCATTTATATCTGTCAAATCTCAAACACTGAATTTCAAAGAAGAATCAGCTCAAGCTTTTGAAAGAAATCTAACAGAGAATGATGGAAAACAAAGTGTAGAAGTATATGCAACTATTAACACTCATAACGATGAAAGACAGGCCATTAAGGGAGGCATGAAAGGAGAAAATGCACCAACTAGCCATGTACCTCATCCTACGAAGAGTGCCACATCTTTTACGACGGCAACCGAATCATTCCGAATATGCCCAAAGTTGTCCCTTCAATCTACAAATACTGTCAAATATGGTTTATGTACACCTCACAAGCCAAGCGAAGAATCATGTAAGTTTGCTAGAGAAACTTATGCCATCGATCCCGAGTTATCAGAATGCAAGGAGAAAGGTATGGGAGACGTTTGTAAGATGGAAATCACTAGACTTAACAAGAGAAGTGATATTTCGTTCAGATGCAATCAAACACTTTGCAAACAAGGAGAAAGCGGTTCGTTTAAGGTTCATAGTCTCGACCCCAAGGCAGGAATGACCAGCATCGTGAGAGAATTCTCCACAATAAAAGAACTCGAGAATGGATTACCGGATATTGTAAAAGAAAACAAACAAAAGAAGTTAAACTTTGTTTTCATTGACTGCGTCACCCCACATGGCAGAGATGTGTCTCAATTTGTTCCAATTGGGCCAGGTTTCACCATCGAAGAAGCACAAAACATTAGAAATGGAAATTTTATTAACGTAAACGTCCTTCTGATTGACTCGGTAGCCAGGGCTCATTTTTATCGCTCCTTGCCGAGAACAGTTGCCACATTTAAAAAATGGCGGGAAAGCCCAAACACAGTTCCGGCCAAAGTCTTCGACTACGAGTTGTTCCAGGCCCTGCATGGCCATACTGCTGAAAACACGCACGCGCTCTTTACTGGAGAACTTTTTCCGATAGAAGATAGAGGGAAAACACTTCCGGTCAATATGTCGGCGATGTTTGGGCATTACAAGAGAGCTGGGTACCATACCATTTTTCAGGAAGACTTGTGTTGGAAAGGGATCTGGGGATTAATGTTAGATCTTGGAGAGAGATCGTGGAGCAATCTTCAGCGCGCGATGAAAGCCACTTCCATCGATCATACAGGTACGTGTACAAATCAATATTTTAAGGAAAATTTTCATTTTCGGTTAGGTTCGACGGCTCGAATGCCAGCCGCTGTTCGGGAAAGGAGCCCTCGCTCTTCTCCCGAAGGCATCCGTTCTTCTTGGGAACGACCTTCTAATAACGGGCCCGAGAGAGTGATGGAAATTGAACCTAATCTATGGTAACTAAATTTTAATTGGCCGGGTAGTGCCGTTACACGATCTTCATTTATCAATAGCTTGGTTGATCAACTTAGCATCATATGCAGGTTTACACTTGTCAGTTTCGTTTGATAATCCTTCTAACCAAAAAATTTTTTCCAAATAAAAGAGTTGAAAAGGTTTCTACCGGAACCCTGCAAAAAATAATTATAACCGGTTTCTGTTGTGTTATTGCCATGACCTCTAGTGACCATACAAATGTACTCACAGTACAATCGTTAAGATTCTGTTCGGAAGGGCTCTGTGAATAAGGCACACTTTCAAATCATAATTAGTACGCTAAAAATCATATAGAAGAAACGATTGTCGCGTGTCTCGCTCATGTAGTATATCAAACACGAGAGACAGTGTTTCATCGGGATATCCAAACACCGAGAAGAGAGTTGAAAATACGACGTGCAGCGGAATAGTTTTGACCAAGTATATTCGAGGTGTTCGGGTAGCCGGTGAAACACTGTCTCGAGTGTTTGATATATCTTCTCAATCGAAACTACAACTAAGGAGTAAACGGAGAAGTGAAATCGTCCAAATCTATACTAATTAAGACCGGGTATCCAAACCTGCTTCACGGTTGTGATATTCTTTGTTTTAACTTGTTGAATTATTAATGAGTTCGAGAAATATGTATAATAAATATAGCCAGTTACTGAGCACGTTAAGCCAGACAACAGTGATATGCTATAGTGCTATAAAATATTCTCCTCAGTTCAAGAATTGAGCAGGGGACTTGGAATGTATTCATTCCATTAAAATGTGTTCAACACAGTTTTAAGTTACAAAACGTTAATGTGAGTTCGAATATTAGCTCCCCGAAAGTAATTACAGTCACTATAAGAGAAAAAAATTCAGTTTAATTATTATTATAATCGGTAGCATTGTGCAAAACATTAACCTTCCGCAAAACACTAGTATTGGGCCGACAAGCGAGCAATCGTCAATTTATACGAATTACGGACCTATTGCATCGTTGTAGTTGAGTTATCTTCCCTCGTATCCATAATGGAACAGCATACAGACTATAAAGCGCTTTTTTCTCTCTGCTATTTTATTATTTTTCACTCACTATAAAGCTATAAAGCGTTTTTGTTTTATTATTTTTACTCACTATAAAGCTTGCCCTGGCCTAGATGTTTATCCCTTGTCTTACTGTTACTTTTTATTACATTTCAGGCCTCACCCATTCTAGCTGCAAGATTCTTAACTCATTGGGGGTTGATGATCCTTTTAGCGGACCTCAAGGCGACCAAATCTGCTACAATGGAAAGTTTCAACACGCATATTTTCTTCGTTACTTAACGGATACACTTCACGCTATTAGTGCGTCACGCAAGGCGTTGCCTCTTTTCTCGTACATGGCTCTTAACGTTGCGCACGATCACAGAAGCATACGAACGCAAACTTTGGATGTCGATTTAGAACGTTATGTGACTGACATGGCACAGGAGCAAAACACGTTCACGATTATTCTAGCGGACCACGGGAACACGTACACAAGCTACACCTCAGATGTGCTTGAAGGACGCTTTGAAATGTTTCACCCAAGCCTCTTCATTATTGTTCCGGACAAAGTGGCATCGCGCTTAGGAAAGAGCGCAATGTCAGCACTGGCGGTGAACCAGCGACGGCTTGTCACAATGATTGAGTTGCACCGTTCTCTAATGGTTTTGGCCAAGCCCCTTCTTGGTGGAGTTAAACAAGTGGGGCTGTTCACGCCCATGTCTCTGAACCGCACGTGCGATGACCTGGAACTCAGGACACCGAATTTGTGTGTCTGTGAAGGCTGGGATGTGCCAGCGGACAATGACACCTCACGCATACCCATCGCGGAGTTTGCGATTGGTCAGTTGAATAATCGAATACAAGAGCAGTATCAGGAAGAACTCTCGCGAAAAGCGAATACTAAAGCCGGTGGCGGGAGGATCAGGCGATCTTGCCAAACACTGCTTCCTCTGTGGTTTGAGAATGTGCGTGAAAGAAACTCCAAAACAGACGGCGCTCTGATTACTTCCATGGATATTCGCGTTGCTGCAGGAGACGTCGTTCCCCAAAGAGAAGACATATTTCACGTTGAAGTGTGGACAAAGGAGATAATAGGAGACAAGTCCTTACAAATGAAACTGCTTTCTTATGATCGTCTTACGTTATTCGGAAAGTACGCGGCATGCGCGGATCACAATGTGAAACTTAAACTATGCGTTTGTTCGCAAAACGCGACAAAAATGAAAACAGAAATCGCGCCTCTGTTTCTTGAAGGCTGGGAACGTTTCGGTCAGCGACCAAGCGTTAAAAATGTTTCTAATACGCGGTGTTTAAGGCTGATTACATGGAGTTATGATGAGAAGAATTCGAAAGCGTATGAAATAGCAAATGTTTGCCAAAATCAGTCATATAGAGTCAAAATAGAGGCGGTAGAGGCGTCCAACGTGAAGTTTTCACGCCAACTTCCTTTTCATTTGGATGTAAAACCTGGAGGCGTGTTGTTTGCTCTCTCAGTTAGGAAACACATCAGCTACTGGAATGCTCAAGTAGAAATAGCTGCAACGGTTGACAAGGAATTTTAAAAATAGCTATTTAACTAAGAAGTGCTACGCTCTCTGTGTAACCATTGGTAACCTTGTCACGTGAGCTGGTCAATTAAAAAAAACAGTTGTCATGGTACGAAATAAATCAACTTATTTCTCTGTTCCTCTGTTGGAATATTCTCTAATTAACAGCCATGACATAAATAATCATCAGACCAAGATCAAGTAATTCAGAAGTTCTTTATTGATTCTAACAACAGACTTCCCTCGCACTTTACATGACCTATCCCATAACTCAAAGCTCTAGATCTCGTTGATTCAGTTATTATTTTGAAGTCAACATGGCGGAGGTGAAGATTTGTTGCAGGACTTGCGGCAGATGTTTGGTATCCATGCAGACATAGGCCCGACCTGATGGCAGCTTTTTCACTAACCTTATAGAGAGAAAAACGTAACATTATCAGAGAAGCGTACTCGCGATTTTGTCCTACAGTAACCCTACAGGACACAAAATTGCGAGTATACTGCTCAGGGTGGGGGTGGAGGGATTATCAGCCGTTTGTTAGCCCCTAACCGGTTAGCCCCCAACCAGAAGTCGATTAACCCCCATATTCACGCTTAAAGGACGAGAAATAGTTTTCGACTTCTGGTTAATAGCACTAATCGACCTGGGTCTAAACAACCGGTCACCCCTGGGACCACGTGGTTTAACAAGAAAAAGTTGTCCTATATACCCTACGAAAGCCTACCCAGACTCGCCACGCAATCTTTCAATGGGCTCATCACGCAATCTTTCTTCCCATTGCGTGACGAGGCCAAACGAGCGTTTGCGTCGGAGGCTAGCCCTACGGACGTCCACAATTGATTTAGCATTCGCGGAGTTCGACATGCAGCAACGTATTTTCAAAGCGTCAAGACAGATCCAGCTAAGGGAAAAAGTGAGATGAACAAGTGCTTATTGACTGAATTAGGACGGGCGGGAATGAGGGAAGATATGAGAGGTCATGATGTCCAGACCCCCCATCCGACCTTCTCGCTCAGTCGAACCGTGAAATGCATAACACATACAACATAACTTGACACTAGAAAGCAATTTTTTCATGCATGTCCCTCGCCTCTTTGTATTTTTTCTCGTGACAATTCGTTTGTGTGTCTTCATAATTTGATTTCAACCCTTTTCATTTCATAAATGGTTGCCAATTATAAATTCTTTAGCAGATATTAAAACTGGCCTGACTAACATCGTTTTTAAGTTGATAATAGTAAGTGAGGCTAATTTAAATGCGTTCAAAACAATTTTAAATTGGCAGTCATTTATGAAAAGAGTCTACACATATAGGGTTTTACCACGCCATACCTGTCTGCCTGGTTACCAAGGGAACCGATGAAAATAGCGAAGGCGTTCACACGTGGATCTGACGTCAATGCCTTCCCAAAAGCCTCAGCGGGTATACCATATCGCTCGAGATTTGCATCGCTGAGTACGACAACAAAATAATCGTCGGCCTCCTCGGCTGTTATCCGCGTGATCGCTAAATCCGTGCCTTCCAAAGTATGGTCACCACTCCAGCAATATTGCGCGTGCGCATGCATCTGTTTCATGACGTCGAGGCGCTCCTTGTTGTTCTTTGGCGGTGCATCATGGGAAACGAAGGGAATCTCGGGAGAATCGCCGGAATGGCCAACGATATCGTACTGAAAGAGAAGACAGCAAAAGATAGTGAGAAGAGAGTGGGCAAGGGCCGGGAGGGGTACTCGATAAAAGTTTTATATTGGGAGGCTCCGCACCGAGGTTCAACCCCTTACCCTTCTGTACACCATTTAGACAGAAAAAGTGCCCCTTTCATATACCTACTTAAGAACACTGCATCTCTTTTCTAAACCCCTGGAATGAAGTTAATGAACAATACTACGGTAGAACATCAAGGATTATCATATACAGCCAAACGATGCGTCTGCCCGAGATACTTTAATTCAAGGTCCTTTCAAATAACTAAATGAAAGATTTCCCTACCCTTCCATATGCCTCAACTTGAGAAATCCCCTCCCTTTTATATACCTGAAGCCTGAGAAAGGTACACTTTTCGGGCGGAGACTTCCCATATAGGCCATTATAGGGAGTACACCCGGAGGACAAGGTCGATTCCGAGGCGCCCCGTTATTATGTTGTGCCGAAGTCTGTGTGAAGTTTCTTGTGATCAGAGAAGCCTAGAACATTTGATCCTCAACTTCTGTTTGCGAAGTGTAAAATACAGCTTGCAGACCATGTTTACCGTTCTCTAAGCCACTGTTTTGTGAAAGATTAGTGGAAAAGAAACATGGCAAGCACTCTGCATTTTATATCAACTGGTTTTTAGTTTCTGGTTTCTTCTTTCCCAAAGACAATTTCAAGAACAATTTCCAGTTTTATGACGACCGGGTCGAAATCTGTTGTAAATTATAAAATTTTAAGCCCCCAGCAGGTAGAATATCTAGTTAATTTTCCGCCATTAGGCAAGTACCTTAATTTTGTTGTCATACTGATGAAATGCTTCCATCACCAGGCACGCTGCCTCCATCATCCGCCGTAGTCTCCCGTCTAAGCTGTTAAATCGATACATGCTACCGCTGACATCCACTACAAATCGTAGGCGCTTAGGAAGGCGTTGAGGAGTTCCTTGCTAAAATAACAGACACCAAAACAAAATAGTAGTACTCCTAGACAAACAGCCTAAAATAAAACAAAATTATTGTTTGAGTTGCTCCAGAGGATTGCTGGTACCCTGGGTGGCACTGTAAAAGTAAGTTCGAGTCCGATCTGGTAACCACAAGTGTCGCCTCTGGTAGGTTACCCTCGTGTAGTAACCTCAAAAATACAAATTTACTCTTACAGTGTCTGCCTCCATCCTCCAAGGAAATGGCAAAGTCTAATACTGACGGAAATTGATGAAATGATTTGAATTTCACTTTGAAAACCTGGGACTGAGAAGGGATGGCGCAGTGGTGAGAACGCTCACCTCCCACATATGTGGCCCGTTTTCGATTCCGGCCCGTGGGTTGAGTTTGTTGTTGGTTCTCGCCTTTGCTCCGCGGGGTTTTTCTCCGGATTGTCCGGTTTTCCTCCCTCCACAAAAACCAACGTCTCCAAATTCCAATTCGACCAGAAAAGAGGACCTGCATGAAAACCAGCTAAAGCTGCTGCGGCTTCCTCTCTAAATATTGTAATTAATTTTTTTTATTATTTTAGGACTTAACTTTCACACGAAAGCTTGCGCGCAAGACATTACAAGTTCAAGGGACATTTCATATCAAGAAAAATCAATTGATACACAAATCACTTGATGTCTATGAAATGCGCTTTCTTGAAGGAACGTGACTTTGCAGTGCCTACCTCGGGGTCTTCCTCTCCTCGTTTCTTGTAAATCGCTCTTTCTCCAGTTAGTCCTTCGATTAACTTGCCGTCGTCCAGCTCGCCAGAGGTCTGGTTCCGAAGCCACACTCGCTCTTTTCCCCGGGCCTGCAGACTGTCAAGAATGACGCGCAGAGACTGGACCTGGCGGCGAACACGTGACGAGTAAGATTCGTACATCTCGGCGTCATATTCGCTCATCTGGATTTCACGCAATCTGACAAAACGAGGAAACAGAAATGACAAGACATTTCTCAAAATAAAGTTAAAAATAGACNAATCGTCAATTTATACGAATTACGGACCTATTGCATCGTTGTAGTTGAGTTATCTTCCCTCGTATCCATAATGGAACAGCATACAGACTATAAAGCGCTTTTTTCTCTCTGCTATTTTATTATTTTTCACTCACTATAAAGCTATAAAGCGTTTTTGTTTTATTATTTTTACTCACTATAAAGCTTGCCCTGGCCTAGATGTTTATCCCTTGTCTTACTGTTACTTTTTATTACATTTCAGGCCTCACCCATTCTAGCTGCAAGATTCTTAACTCATTGGGGGTTGATGATCCTTTTAGCGGACCTCAAGGCGACCAAATCTGCTACAATGGAAAGTTTCAACACGCATATTTTCTTCGTTACTTAACGGATACACTTCACGCTATTAGTGCGTCACGCAAGGCGTTGCCTCTTTTCTCGTACATGGCTCTTAACGTTGCGCACGATCACAGAAGCATACGAACGCAAACTTTGGATGTCGATTTAGAACGTTATGTGACTGACATGGCACAGGAGCAAAACACGTTCACGATTATTCTAGCGGACCACGGGAACACGTACACAAGCTACACCTCAGATGTGCTTGAAGGACGCTTTGAAATGTTTCACCCAAGCCTCTTCATTATTGTTCCGGACAAAGTGGCATCGCGCTTAGGAAAGAGCGCAATGTCAGCACTGGCGGTGAACCAGCGACGGCTTGTCACAATGATTGAGTTGCACCGTTCTCTAATGGTTTTGGCCAAGCCCCTTCTTGGTGGAGTTAAACAAGTGGGGCTGTTCACGCCCATGTCTCTGAACCGCACGTGCGATGACCTGGAACTCAGGACACCGAATTTGTGTGTCTGTGAAGGCTGGGATGTGCCAGCGGACAATGACACCTCACGCATACCCATCGCGGAGTTTGCGATTGGTCAGTTGAATAATCGAATACAAGAGCAGTATCAGGAAGAACTCTCGCGAAAAGCGAATACTAAAGCCGGTGGCGGGAGGATCAGGCGATCTTGCCAAACACTGCTTCCTCTGTGGTTTGAGAATGTGCGTGAAAGAAACTCCAAAACAGACGGCGCTCTGATTACTTCCATGGATATTCGCGTTGCTGCAGGAGACGTCGTTCCCCAAAGAGAAGACATATTTCACGTTGAAGTGTGGACAAAGGAGATAATAGGAGACAAGTCCTTACAAATGAAACTGCTTTCTTATGATCGTCTTACGTTATTCGGAAAGTACGCGGCATGCGCGGATCACAATGTGAAACTTAAACTATGCGTTTGTTCGCAAAACGCGACAAAAATGAAAACAGAAATCGCGCCTCTGTTTCTTGAAGGCTGGGAACGTTTCGGTCAGCGACCAAGCGTTAAAAATGTTTCTAATACGCGGTGTTTAAGGCTGATTACATGGAGTTATGATGAGAAGAATTCGAAAGCGTATGAAATAGCAAATGTTTGCCAAAATCAGTCATATAGAGTCAAAATAGAGGCGGTAGAGGCGTCCAACGTGAAGTTTTCACGCCAACTTCCTTTTCATTTGGATGTAAAACCTGGAGGCGTGTTGTTTGCTCTCTCAGTTAGGAAACACATCAGCTACTGGAATGCTCAAGTAGAAATAGCTGCAACGGTTGACAAGGAATTTTAAAAATAGCTATTTAACTAAGAAGTGCTACGCTCTCTGTGTAACCATTGGTAACCTTGTCACGTGAGCTGGTCAATTAAAAAAAACAGTTGTCATGGTACGACATAAATCAACTTATTTCTCTGTTCCTCTGTTGGAATATTCTCTAATTAACAGCCATGACATAAATAATCATCAGACCAAGATCAAGTAATTCAGAAATTCTTTATTGATTCTAACAACAGACTTCCCTCGCACTTTACATGACCTATCCCATAACTCAAAGCTCTAGATCTCGTTGATTCAGTTATTATTTTGAAGTCAACATGGCGGAGGTGAAGATTTGTTGCAGGACTTGCGGCAGATGTTTGGTATCCATGCAGACATAGGCCCGACCTGATGGCAGCTTTTTCACTAACCTTATAGAGAGAAAAACGTAACATTATCAGAGAAGCGTACTCGCGATTTTGTCCTACAGTAACCCTACAGGACACAAAATTGCGAGTATACTGCTCAGGGTGGGGGTGGAGGGATTATCAGCCGTTTGTTAGCCCCTAACCGGTTAGCCCCCAACCAGAAGTCGATTAACCCCCATATTCACGCTTAAAGGACGAGAAATAGTTTTCGACTTCTGGTTAATAGCACTAATCGACCTGGGTCTAAACAACCGGTCACCCCTGGGACCACGTGGTTTAACAAGAAAAAGTTGTCCTATATACCCTACGAAAGCCTACCCAGACTCGCCACGCAATCTTTCAATGGGCTCATCACGCAATCTTTCTTCCCATTGCGTGACGAGGCCAAACGAGCGTTTGCGTCGGAGGCTAGCCCTACGGACGTCCACAATTGATTTAGCATTCGCGGAGTTCGACATGCAGCAACGTATTTTCAAAGCGTCAAGACAGATCCAGCTAAGGGAAAAAGTGAGATGAACAAGTGCTTATTGACTGAATTAGGACGGGCGGGAATGAGGGAAGATATGAGAGGTCATGATGTCCAGACCCCCCATCCGACCTTCTCGCTCAGTCGAACCGTGAAATGCATAACACATACAACATAACTTGACACTAGAAAGCAATTTTTTCATGCATGTCCCTCGCCTCTTTGTATTTTTTCTCGTGACAATTCGTTTGTGTGTCTTCATAATTTGATTTCAACCCTTTTCATTTCATAAATGGTTGCCAATTATAAATTCTTTAGCAGATATTAAAACTGGCCTGACTAACATCGTTTTTAAGTTGATAATAGTAAGTGAGGCTAATTTAAATGCGTTCAAAACAATTTTAAATTGGCAGTCATTTATGAAAAGAGTCTACACATATAGGGTTTTACCACGCCATACCTGTCTGCCTGGTTACCAAGGGAACCGATGAAAATAGCGAAGGCGTTCACACGTGGATCTGACGTCAATGCCTTCCCAAAAGCCTCAGCGGGTATACCATATCGCTCGAGATTTGCATCGCTGAGTACGACAACAAAATAATCGTCGGCCTCCTCGGCTGTTATCCGCGTGATCGCTAAATCCGTGCCTTCCAAAGTATGGTCACCACTCCAGCAATATTGCGCGTGCGCATGCATCTGTTTCATGACGTCGAGGCGCTCCTTGTTGTTCTTTGGCGGTGCATCATGGGAAACGAAGGGAATCTCGGGAGAATCGCCGGAATGGCCAACGATATCGTACTGAAAGAGAAGACAGCAAAAGATAGTGAGAAGAGAGTGGGCAAGGGCCGGGAGGGGTACTCGATAAAAGTTTTATATTGGGAGGCTCCGCACCGAGGTTCAACCCCTTACCCTTCTGTACACCATTTAGACAGAAAAAGTGCCCCTTTCATATACCTACTTAAGAACACTGCATCTCTTTTCTAAACCCCTGGAATGAAGTTAATGAACAATACTACGGTAGAACATCAAGGATTATCATATACAGCCAAACGATGCGTCTGCCCGAGATACTTTAATTCAAGGTCCTTTCAAATAACTAAATGAAAGATTTCCCTACCCTTCCATATGCCTCAACTTGAGAAATCCCCTCCCTTTTATATACCTGAAGCCTGAGAAAGGTACACTTTTCGGGCGGAGACTTCCCATATAGGCCATTATAGGGAGTACACCCGGAGGACAAGGTCGATTCCGAGGCGCCCCGTTATTATGTTGTGCCGAAGTCTGTGTGAAGTTTCTTGTGATCAGAGAAGCCTAGAACATTTGATCCTCAACTTCTGTTTGCGAAGTGTAAAATACAGCTTGCAGACCATGTTTACCGTTCTCTAAGCCACTGTTTTGTGAAAGATTAGTGGAAAAGAAACATGGCAAGCACTCTGCATTTTATATCAACTGGTTTTTAGTTTCTGGTTTCTTCTTTCTCAAAGACAATTTCAAGAACAATTTCCAGTTTTATGACGACCGGGTCGAAATCTGTTGTAAATTATAAAATTTTAAGCCCCCAGCAGGTAGAATATCTAGTTAATTTTCCGCCATTAGGCAAGTACCTTAATTTTGTTGTCATACTGATGAAATGCTTCCATCACCAGGCACGCTGCCTCCATCATCCGCCGTAGTCTCCCGTCTAAGCTGTTAAATCGATACATGCTACCGCTGACATCCACTACAAATCGTAGGCGCTTAGGAAGGCGTTGAGGAGTTCCTTGCTAAAATAACAGACACCAAAACAAAATAGTAGTACTCCTAGACAAACAGCCTAAAATAAAACAAAATTATTGTTTGAGTTGCTCCAGAGGATTGCTGGTACCCTGGGTGGCACTGTAAAAGTAAGTTCGAGTCCGATCTGGTAACCACAAGTGTCGCCTCTGGTAGGTTACCCTCGTGTAGTAACCTCAAAAATACAAATTTACTCTTACAGTGTCTGCCTCCATCCTCCAAGGAAATGGCAAAGTCTAATACTGACGGAAATTGATGAAATGATTTGAATTTCACTTTGAAAACCTGGGACTGAGAAGGGATGGCGCAGTGGTGAGAACGCTCACCTCCCACATATGTGGCCCGTTAAAAACCAACACTCCAAATTCCAATTCGACCAGAAAAGAGGACTCGCATGAAAACCAGCTAAAGCTGCTGCGGTTTCCTCTCTAAATATTGTAATTAATTTTTTTTATTATTTTAGGACTTAACTTTCACACGAAAGCTTGCGCGCAAGACATTACAAGTTCAAGGGACATTTCATATCAAGAAAAATCAATTGATACACAAATCACTTGATGTCTATGAAATGCGCTTTCTTGAAGGAACGTGACTTTGCAGTGCCTACCTCGGGGTCTTCCTCTCCTCGTTTCTTGTAAATCGCTCTTTCTCCAGTTAGTCCTTCGATTAACTTGCCGTCGTCCAGCTCGCCAGAGGTCTGGTTCCGAAGCCACACTCGCTCTTTTCCCCGGGCCTGCAGACTGTCAAGAATGACGCGCAGAGACTGGACCTGGCGGCGAACACGTGACGAGTAAGATTCGTACATCTCGGCGTCATATTCGCTCATCTGGATTTCACGCAATCTGACAAAACGAGGAAACAGAAATGACAAGACATTTCTCAAAATAAAGTTAAAAATAGACCTGATCTAACTGGTTTTTGACCACAAAAAGTTGTAAACTGCACAACTTCTGGTAAAACTCTATAAATTTATCCCTGCAGTGTCCCTTTCAAGTCCCTGTTACTAACCGGGGGGGAGGGGGGTATTTTAACGTTAAATAGTCGTTTCAGAATCTTTGCCATAAATATTTTAAAAATGCTTTTAAACTCAAACAGTTCAAGAACTCAAACGAATAAACAAATATATGTCCACGAAATTACTTCATTTTTTGTTCGATTCATTGTGCTGGCCGGATTGTTCTAAAGGTGGATAGCGTTGTCCAGCCTTCCAACAACTGGGCCCAGGTGTGCTAGATTATTTTGTGTGATACATTATTTAGTCTCAAAGACGCGAGTCCCAAATGGAAAACAACCATCCGGTAATTTTTTCAAAACGAAAAATCATAATCTTTTGACGTGAAATAATTTCAAGGTCTACCCTATAACAAGTCCTCACCTCTGTTTAAATGCACGCCGACCCATATCACGCGCAGCCCGCTTGACGTCATCCGGGACTGCGTCTTTCTCTTCATCGGATAACTGATGCACGTCATGTCCTGCATCGAGCCGATAAGGTCCCCCTTTACCTCCGAGCCCCGCGGTATCACGGCCCCCGGTGCCCCCAGCCCACGTGTTCCCGCCTACATGAGGTGCATTATTAGGGTCCACCTGTTACAAATGAACTGGTTAGCAGCATTATGAAGCAAACAAAAGTAACTCTACGCGCGCTCTATTCTGCCCCTCCTCACCCTCATGGAAAGACGTCTGAGGACAAACTGCTGACATAGCTTTGCAAGGATCTGTGTAATGCCGCTGACTACAGGTTACTTGGGCGCGATTGGAAGTTGTGTTTAAAGTGTTCATCACGAGAAACAACATCACACGTTAATATTCACCCCACCTTGCCATGTTTTGGACTCGTGACGTCCTCTCCACTTTCCCTCGAGTAATTAACCTATGATAGAAAAAACAAACTTCGTTAAACTCAAAGTGCAACTGTCTTCACTGATTATTTCTTGCTTAAAAAGGATCCAACCTGTAAGGGGCCCTGATAGTCCTCCCCAATGAGTCCCTTCCATTTCTCCAATGACCGTACGAGATTCGTCACACCAGTCTCCCACAGCCTAACGCGGCCGGCTACGTCTACCGTCACAATACCTTCATATGTCGTTGGCGCCATTACCAAGGGTTTTCCCGCCAAACGCGCGTACAGTGATAGGTCGTGCCGGCCTGGGAATGGTATGTAACGCACAGACCTGCAATCGAAAATAAAGCCACATAAGGAGTATTACAAAACAGGAAGATCGTAAACAACAACAACAAGCTATTTCATGCCCTGTACGAATACCGTACCGAAAGGAACCAAGACAGCGACGGCGTTCACATGCTAACCTTGAGCAAGCAATCAAACGACTATGATCGAAATTGCTTTCCTTCTAAAAGATCTCTAAATTGAAATTTGTCCTTTCGGCAACAGGCCAGTTCCTTCAAATATTGCTCGTACAAGCCTGGTTCATTTGACGTTAATACCACTGCCACTGTTACTACCCGGCTAATAACGCCAAATAACCAAACCAGCCTCCAAAGCTATGCGACTTCTGTTTACTTGTGTTCACGAAATCTGTGTTTGTCCGAACAGTTGCTGAGCTTCTCGCTTATTACAGATTTTCCCCCCTGCCATTACGTGGTACGTCACGCAACAACTTTTGTGTCCACATCACGTGAAGAACAAATTGAAGACTGCGACTGAAGGAGACCAGCAACCAGCCGGCTACAATTACTTTACTGCACAATCTACATCTTCACAAAGGAACAAGCACGAAAACTACCTTCTACCAACATCTGTAACTTCCATGTATCCCAAAGGGCTTTGCGCTCGGAAGTTATAAGGATCCTCGTCTTCTTTCGTTATTTGATCTTCGTTCTTGGGAACAGAGGAACCTGGGACCAAACGGACAACTTGGGCCGTGGCGGGAAGACACAGAGGAGGGACTGTGTCATCTGAGATAAGTTTGTCCAAAGGATTTTTTTTGTGCTCTGAGTGTGGAATAAAAACAGCGAAAAAGTCATCGTATCAAACATAACAATCTAAGCGTCTTTATTTGATTGGTATAAGTAAAACGAGTAACAAACAATAAAAAAATCGTACTAATAAAAGTCAAAATAGATGTTGTCTCCTTGGCCAGTGAGAGAAAGTCAAAAGAAAAACGATTAATTAAGAGGCTTTTCCCGCATTTTCACTCACAGACTACATGTTTAACGGCTTGCTCTGGTTGGTTAGTTACAGTATACCATTTATGATCAAAGTAATGTACAAACATGTAGGTAAGCAAACGGTCTTTGTTAAACGTTTCCAATAAAGTAGTTTGAAGAATAAGAAAGACGGGTATTTTACTACGTAAGTCTCCGATTGTAGGTAAACAGATATTTCATTTCTAATCGCTTTTATCGGGATTTGACTTACCGCCACACACATTTACTTTCATACCTGATTCCACGGGTTTGTTTTGCTTTTCCCTCTGAAACGAATAAAAACTGACAGGCGACTTTTCAAGCATTTGATCGGGCTGTGCTACCGCCACAGTCGCATAGTCTTCAGAACCGACCAACAATCGATTACTTCTTGATCTCTTCTCCTCTCTGACAATTGCGGAAAGCGCTCCGGGTGGTAAACTCCGAGCTGATATCGCTTTCCACCGTCCATTTTCCTCCCCGCTCAAGTTACTGCTTTCAATTGGATGAAGCACGCAAGGAGCAGACGCTTCCGGGTAAGGTTTTGTCAGTAGGTAATTCCGGTCTGTCCCAGTCTCACACACGAGCCACAAGTCACGTGAGAAAGGGTGAAACTGTCCAATGATGAAGGGCATGGTGATATGCTGAGTTGTGTTGTTGATTAAATCCACGACGTCCATTTTATTGCTATCCTCTTGATAAACAATAATTATGTTCTCGTGGGCAAATTCTGAACTCATTAAAAATTTTCCCTTGTCAACCGAAAAATGGCGCGTAAGTTTCTCCTTGGTGTTGTCGACAATCGATTTAAAGTTAAGGGATCGAAGCTCCTTTTCTGCAGGGTTTAATAGGAATAACGAGTTTGAGTCCATTTCGTGAATAAGCACCTGACCCTGGAGGTCCCCTCCTAAGGCCGCCATTTTGAGCTGGGGAACCGCGTAATTGTACCGCGGAAACATCTCATAAAGGTCCATACATAATACTGTGTCCTGATTGGTCTGTTGTGAGTAGAGAGAGACTGGGTTGAATGCCAGGGTGTGGATCCAGTCGCCTTGGTTTCCTCCTGGGAACAAATCAAATGAAGACAAAGATTAGGACTGAGCTGATGGTATTCCGGATGTCTTCTCGATGTCCTGGCTCCAGCGAGCAACGTGCGCAAATATTGCAAATGTTTTAGGCAGAGAGTATCGACCAATGTGGGTAAGTCAATCTATGTTTTACTCTGCTGTTTGATTTTGTTACTCTAAAGTGTGAATGTAGTGTATGTATGTATGTATGTATGTATGTATGTATGTATGTATGTATGTATGTATGTTGTAATGTATTTAGGTCTGAACTAATTTTTTGATGCCATTTCCTTGACCATGGCGGTATCCAACCACAAAGCTCGTGCTACTTTGGCCACCGCTCACATATAAATTTTATTTTAAGGCTTCATAATTCTTTTTTTTCTACTATTTTCATTACTTTACCTTGTAAAATGTATCTAAATGCCCTATATTGTGTAAATAAACAACTGAATTGAATTGAATTGAATTGAAGACCTCGTCATACAAGTTCTAATTTCAATATGTTTGTTTGTTATTATGACAACGTTTTCGCCACTTTGAAAGATTAATGTCCCCATACCTAATCAATGAGCTTAAAAGGACAGAGAATTAGAGAACTGGAAGGAAATAAATATTTCAGCTTTACGTGGCAAAATAAAGCTCAGTTCTTCTCGCACCTAGCGTTGCCCACGGTTCTCGATTCTGGTCAGCAAGGTCGCCAAGAAATAAGAGGTAAACCAACAAGTCTAACTGTGAGAACTGTTTCAAATATCGCTCGTACAAGCCTGGTTTATTTGACGTTAATACCACTGCCACTGTTACTACCCGGCTAATAACGCCAAATAAGAAGCCAGCATGCCCCCCCCGGAAAAAATGTTTCCTCAATCCAGCCTCCAAAGCTATGCGACTTCTGTTTATTTGTGTCCACGAAATCTGTGTTTGTCCTAACAGTTGCTGAGCTTCTCCCTTATTACAGATTTTCCAGTAATTATTTGGATTTGGTAAACTCCTTACCAGGTCCAGCAGCAACACTCATTACCACTCCTCCCTCGTGCATCGGAAGATCCCAGTGACCGACTTGTTCAGAGAAGCCGTATGAACGATCGTTGAAACGCTCAACTTCTCTGGGTTTTACTGGAATAGTTGCAGGGCCCTAGAGACGAATAACAAGTCTTTATCTAAGGACTTGCTAAAAGCTTCTAAGAATTATGTACCGAGTAAACAAACTAATTTTGAAGAAATTTTTATTTTTTTCCTTTCTGGTAACACTTAACGCCGGGGTAACCCTCCAAGTGAATACAACATTTTTTGAACATCGTTTGTGCGGAGTTAATTGATGTTTCAAATCAGCCTAAACAAGTTATCTCCAATAGAGATAAAAATCTAACTTCTCCTTACAATATGGTACGTCGTGAGGCAGACAAGTTAAGAGAATAAAGAATTTCATTAACAAGACGATACAGCCTTGATGTACCACCAAAAGAAACGATGGGCAAACTGTAGTAACAAGGGGCAAGGAGTGTCGACTGCAAGCATGCCATGTTTTTCCTCCTAGACCTTAGCAAAATTGTTAAAAAGAGAATAAGTCAAAGAGTACATTTGAACTAACCCGCATCTTAAGTTTTCTTTCCTCCACAGGACAGTTGATTCCGGCATTGAAACCATCCTCGTCCCCAGAAATTTTCCAGGTAGAGACCAGGGTTGGGGAAGGCAGAGGAAACCTGGACACGACACATGACAGGAATCAAGAACAACGAAAGATACTAGCCAAGTATGGTAACATTTGTACGCCGCTTTGTGCTCGGTCTCTCCGCAACACAAAACAGCTGGAAAATGGCATGAGGTTTAAAATAAACTCTGATTGGTCAAGGCCTCCTTTAATCTCTCTAGAAGACAAAATTCAAGAAATGCAGTGCAAATCCTTTAATGTTGTCCTGTAAAGGGAAGGTCTGAACTGACACAAGACACATAAAAGAGGCATTGACAACCAGAGTTTACTTTCTTTATTTGACTTCGATTTACCCTTTAATTACAAGCTTGAATAAAAGTTTCAAATGCCATTAATAATTAAACCGTTTATTGCCGTTTCTCTGTTGAAACCGTGGCAACGAAGGTCACAAGTTCTTGCAACCACGGGCTGAATGACAAGAAAACATTCCTTTAGATAATTGGTATACCTCTTGGTATACCACTGTATTCTAATCGATATCGATCGACTCAATTAAGTTGGTTAAGAATGCTTTGTTTCCGTCCAGCGTAGTGATCGGATTTTGGCCTGAATCACAAAATGTTCGTGTTACATATTTTCCAAAATATTTCCTTGAATAAGAAGTAGATTACAATTCAGAATTCAAAGGTCTGCACCAGGCAGAGAATGCGAAATTTAATTATCGGACATTTTACTTATCGGAAGTTTCGCAAGAAACCTGCTCTTCGTCACGTTCAGCAAGTTATCATTTTGTTCTTACTCTTTCGACAAGTTGATGTTCCTGGTTGAGGCTCCCACAGGGATTCCATGCTTGTGTAGCACTTCTGTTACCACCTCCTTCACTTCCGGGTGATATGAATCGAAATCAAACACATTGCGGACGACATTGGCCAAGCCCTCATCGGGAAAAGCCTGTCAAATAAATAAAAAATAAATTAGCTTCGACGTGAAACAATGTACTGTTTAAGAGAAAATCCCCGTTTTCTGTTGTCCACGAGATATTTTGTGCAGTCCTCAGTACAGATAAACCGGGGGTCCTTAGTGGTACAGAAACGACTAAGAAGTGGAAATCAACTTAATTCTTACAAGTGTCACTGTTAAACTATAAATATCACAGTTTTGAGTCCCGTCTTTACTGGAAGAATTATTCAGCAAGGCGAAGGGCAATCAGCATACGCCTGCCCCAATTACCAACGTAACGTGACGTGCATTACGTGACACACACTAGATTCGACATTTACTAGATGTTCACTAGATTCTACGTGACTCACACCGGATTTCAATTTACACCTATTACGCGCGGTACATCGTCTGTGATACATTTCGCGAAGTACATGTGACGAGTTCGACTAGCATGCAAAAATGCGTGACATAAATAACACGACACACATTACGTGACAGTGTCACTGTTACCTGTAAGTGTTTGACGACGCTGACCACCTCCCTGGTAGAGTAAGGATATGAGATCAAACCCTGATCAGCTCGGGAGCGTAATTCACCAAACGCGTTCACCAGCTTATGCAGAAGTTCCTGAGGAACGCTGGGACCGTACTTACGCAACATGGCCTAGAGGAAAGTCAAACAATGCGAGAAATTGAAAAAAAAAAAAAACAGTTGTCGGTTGTAAACAGGTAGAGCAGCATGTCGAGAAATAAGTTACTTCACAGTCTTATATCATAGGGACAACATAACTTGCTGTGACAGAATTTTTCAAGGAGTCGGTCGCGTAGCTATCAAGCCGATAAATCAATATCCAGTGGAAATGTGATCACAAATCAAACAACACTATCTACCAGATAGCGACTTGTACAGTGAGCGGATAGCGTTATCCAAACCAGAACCAGAAGTAAAGATAATGGGGACCCCGTATTGTCGACAGTAAACTAAGCATTTTCAGTTGCCGGTCGAAACATCACAAAAAAATAAATCACTTTTATGTAAGTGTCGAAGTGTTTAGCACCACTGTTCTAATTGGAGACACTGAAATAAGTAAACAAATATTGTAAATTGAACAGAAACTTGTTAAAACTCCCAACTGCCAGGAGGCTGTCCAGTTGGCCATTTACAAAGCGCGGAGGAGTTAAATCTGGGATCACCAAACACAAATCCATCTGGTGGCAGGGAGGAGGATTTGAACCCGGGACCTCCGGATTACAAATCCAGCGCCCTAAGACTACGTCAAACTAATTTCTCGTTCCATTGGACACGAGCTGGGTTGAACAAAGTGACCTCTCATCAGTGTCCAAACGGAAGACAATAGATTCTACGACTACGGGAGGCCTATAACTGACCCTGACAATTCGCGAAAGTGATCAATATCAACATTCTCACAATTCACATTAAAAGAAATGTGTGACGATTAGTAAGAAGAATTTACATTTTGAGCTTACCATTTCTGACTCGAAGTCTGGATTATCCACTGCGTGACAGCTAAATATGTCACCTAAAGTGAGAAAAACAACCTCGGTGGTCAAGGATGTGTTTTTTACATTGGAAAAATGAGAGGAAAAGCAAAAATGGTTTAGTAAAATCTGTTCACGACGAAAGTATGGCAATCAAAAGCAAAATAACTAAAAAGCTCTTACCAAGAGCTCCAAAGAAGTCATTTCCCAAAAAAGGAAATCCTGGCCGATTTGCAAGAACAATCATCCTGAAGTCTGGATGAGCCCTGATAGCATTACTAGGAAGAGGCGCTGTATCGTCACCTGCCAGAATAGAGAGAAACCCGTTCAAATTATTTTCTGGACAAGTCTGAGATCACCAAAAGAGCACCAAAAAATACTTAACTTACCTGTCACAATTCGTCTCCCATCTCCAAGAACCATCACTCCACTCTCCACTAAGGACTTAAGTATGCAGGTCACGTGAGTAGGCGCTTTGTCTGCCTCATCAACAACTAACACGTGACCAAACTTAACCGCGCGAACCTAAGGAAAATAAATTCAACATTACATTACGGACATGCACAAAAAAACACTTGAGAGAGACGGGGGTAATCAGAATAAATATTTCCCTACAATGGTGTCACTCAACTAAAATCTCAAAATCCCTCTAAAGAAGAACTTTTTTCCACCCAACACTCACGTGTACAAAAGGGTTATTACTGTAGAACGAAGACTGTTACACGACACTGACAAGTAAAACAAAACAAGCTTAACTGAAATGCTTCTCTTAAGAAGATTTCAAAAGTTCTTAGTTTAAATAACAAGCTGCACTATTTTGGTTTCCACAAGCACACGCTCCTACTTACCAGCGGCGAGTCTTCGTAAATAATGACTCCATCTTGAACATTCGGCTGTAGCGTGAGAGACTGAACTGTTGTGTCCCTGTGACAGTGAAACAACAAGTAAATTTTCAGTATGGAGACATTCTGTGCCTTCTATTTATAGAGGAATCAACTGCAATCAGTTGATTTCATTCGGGTCTCTAGTGTCACGTTAGAGAGGTCAAAAATCCTTCTCTCTTTATTTTCCGAAGGTGAAAACAAAAGCTCTCCTTACTTGTTGTTATACATGTTCTACATAATACTTGGCAGAAGTTGATTTTTGGTTTCGATGTAGGTTGGTTGTATGTTTTTTTTTTCCCGAATTGTGATTGGTTCACTACGCTATTAGCGTTCGTGGTGATTGGTCAGATGCGATTACTTTGGCTTTTGTTTTACAACGGTCACGCATTAGAAAACAAGGGTCTAAAATATTGCTTGTAAATCCCGCTTCCCACCACCTATTTTACCTCCATTCCGCCGACTTTGAATCAATAATTCCCGCGTCACGCCAATAATACTGATAACCAACTTTAATTCTCGCCTTCCTCACCCCGCATTCCACCTTCAAATTTCCTTCAATCCCGCATCCCGGCAGCGAAAGAAATTCTCTGCCAGGCATCTCGCCAACCCTATATTACCCTCGAAAACCACTCTAGTTCAAGCAACAGGATTTTGTCTCGTTTGACGTTCGATGCAGACGTGCCATAAACACATTCTTTTATTTTTGTTTTAAACCGGAGTTGGAAAAGTGACATTCTAACACAAACCTGTGTAGCTGAATGTATTCCCTTGGACGATTCAACAGATGTAAAAATCTGTCGGCAATCTTGTTTTTACCAACACCCTGGATATACGAATAAAAATAAATCATTCAGCCCTGTCTTGAGGCTATCAAACAGCAACGTGGTGGCTGGCTAACGAATTCAAGTTATCATAGTGAAATAGACTTATCATAAAACTAAATCAACTACGTATAAGAATTTGTAAAAATTAATCTCCAACTAAGTTTGACGCTATCGAAACTAGACTTAAACAAACACTAATTGCTGAGAAGGCCCTATTCGCTTCCGCTTACTGCACACAAGTTTGAGTTTGTCATCCAAGTCTTCAGCTCAGGAGTGATCAAGGAAGGGACAGATTTCACACTAGAAAGACACAGTCCCTGCCACCTCATATTGTATAATGTACAGTATACTTGCCGTAGCAAACTAAACCTTAGAGAAGCTCCTTTATTATCTTGTAGAACCGAAGAGATTTTAAGTGCGAGTTAGCAGGTCATTTAGGTATTTTTGTTTATCGTACGAGTAAGTTTTTCCGTTTGAATTTTATACCTGATTTCCAACGAGTAGTAAATGCTCCCCAAGCATGAAGTCTTTTAACATGTNGTGCTGAGTTTGATAGAGCGACTTTGCTAGCTACTTTGTAAAACAACTTGTCTTTGACAAGTTTTGCGGTAGATTACGAAGGGAAACTTGCGGTTCGGTTAGTTTTCAGTTCTCTGTTACAGCAATTTTCGATGGGTTTTCGATCGTATTTGTGTTTGTTTAAGTTTCGGGGTTTCTAATCCCTGTAACTAGTGAAAAAAATGCCGTGGATTGGAAGACTGATAGTTTAGCCGAAGAGGACACAGATCAAAACTAGCAGCTTCAAATCGACCCAGATTATGGTTTGGGTTTATAACTTTATACCCGACTTTTCCCGCGCTTGGCATCCGTTCAGCGCAAGCCGCGTTTTAATGTCTGCTCTGATTGGTTCATTATACTATGAGTTTTGATTGGCTCTGAAACAGTCTGAAACATGCTGCAACAATCTATAATGGAAAAATGGAAAAAAAAAAAAAGAAAACAAAAACAATCTACAATGGCGTTTGACAGTCGCTGAAAACCCGTACTACTGGTTGCCGGCTCGTTGCCATACTATAAACTGCCTTCGAGATTTCTTATAATCTTCTCAAAAGTCTTCTCGAAAACGGTAGGAGGTCAAGACTAAATGTACTCACAGACAAAGTCAGTGGCATCTGTTGGCTCTTGTTCAGAAGGATCTTTCTGGACGTGTATTCCAGAATCATTCAGGACTTTTTCCAGCGATGAAGCAGCCAGCCTTGGTAAAAATCTGAAAAGTAGAGAAAGTTAAATTTTCATAGTATTCTTCGTCAGCACTACAAAAAGGAAATGAAAAGCACAAAAAACCCAATATGGTCACTTGGCTGTTGCGAGTTTTCCCGCGCCTTTCCTGTCTGTTTTCTTGAGCTGGCTCTTGGTTCTCTTTGATTGAGCTCTTAGACTGGTTTAAAAAAACCGCACGTAAACTACCCAACCAATCAGATGCAACACGAAACTCGTTACAACTATCGGCATAAACAAGCACCTCTACCAATCCTTACAGATTTAGAGCCGTACCTTGCTAAACAAGCCTTGTGGATTGAATGCTCGAGATCTTCAGCTGGATAATTTGCAAGGCGACGAGCAATGCGGAGAAGCTGTCTAGTGGACAATGACGATGCAATGGACGAAACCTGCGTATCATCAACGAAAACATCACAGAACAATCAGAAGTTACACAGTATAGGTCAATGTTTATCTCAAAGGGATGAATGATGAAAGAGATTTTGGAGTTATAGAAGAGCTCTATGACAGAGAGTCGCGCCAATCGAACAGCTATCGGTTTCACACTGAAGAAGGGCTGAGCCGGAAACGTATATTAGGTAGTCCTGTCTGGACTCATAACAGCGAAAGAACTCCCCTTTACATTGCGGATTCAACTTCCAACGCGGTCATTTACCGTATTCAGGAAAGATTAACTCTTCAGTCTTACTCTCAACTCGGCTTCCCCCTCAAGCTTACCTATGGTATCATATATAAACGTCTCAGGGTTTCCGTATCATCATAGTGCACCGCACCGAAAGAGTCCAGGAAACTCAAACTCACCGTTGGATCTTTTGACGATCGCAGCTTGCCCGTGAGATCAAGCAGCTTGTCCATAACATCACGTGGGGCTCCTGGTACCTAGCCAAATTAAGAAACTTAATATCAGGGTTGGCTAAGCCACAGGCTTCAAAAGCCATAGTTCGAGTTTGTCATGCACTACCCCCTCAAAGTAGACAGACGAGGGAAAGCAAGCCTTGAGACGCAAGTCGTCGTGTTTGGCCTGTTTGGTCATTGCCGAGCTAAATGAAACACCAATTACAGCACATAATATAATATTTCACACAACCTACAATGTGAAATTGTTCTCAGTTCTAAGCTTACTTATAAAGGTTTGATTTTTCTTCTTCTTAAGAAGACATAGTACAACAGATACTCTTTCTTTCTCGGTTCATTGCCACCTTTTTGTTGCTTTTTAACAGTTGTAACTTTGGATGCCAATGACAGAACCGTCTATCATCTTACCATGTCGTATATCACCTGTGCTTCTTCCTGTTTGGAGAGTGGGCTTACATGATGGAACAGAAACATGGACAAAAGTTCAGAGTTCAGCCACTGGGGTTGAGAGCTGCCAATCACAGGAGGCTCAGCCAATCCAGTGATGCGGAATGATGGGTGAATGCACAAGACTCCCCTGACAAGGAAAAACGAAGCAAGGTTAGTCTGTTCTTAGCCTGGCAGGGTATCAATGTAGTGTTGCTATTTACTGCAGTTTCTGTAGAAGGGAATATATAGGAGTATTGCTACCCCTTGGTGGGGTGTTATTCCATCACAGGGTTCCACCTGTCAAGGTTTCTGTCCAGTTGCCTAAATAATTTGCTGATGCCCATTTATAATTCAGACAGAGCGAGTGACTAGTTTAAGATTTTGCCTTACCTGGAGGCCATTTCTTCATCAGACCAGTTGTTGTCTTCTTTTATCACTTGATATCGGTCATGGTGTAACAGCCTTGTTCCATCATACAGAGATAGTTCCCTTTCACTGATAAGCCTTAGCGGGAAAAAAAGTAAGGAAAACGCTCTTTATCTATACACATCACCTTATCAAAGCTGAGCCGATTACAAAGGTGATCATTGCCTAGTTTTTCCCTATAATGTCAACACATTAGCGACGTACAGATCGAAATATGATGATCCACTTTCAATTTTCAAATCATTCTTGTTAATAGAGCCCTTGCTACTGCCAGTCACTGACCAGTAGAAAATGGAGTTATGAAAACAAGATTGGCATATCTTGGGCACACATATGCTATTTTTGACAAGTTTTTATGTATACTGAAGTTAAGACAAAGGCAATGAACTGTGTGATGCAAAGATACCTGAACTGAATGCATGAGTGGATTTAGGGGGAGACGGTGGATTGGGTGGCTAGCCACCCCCCTTTTGTAGAAGCAGAAAAAATGCATTTAAAGATTGTGAATATTATGAAATAAAGGCAAACACTCTGCAACTTCTAATTTGTGGCATAACTCAGTATTTCAGGTGTAACAGTTTTCAATTAGGTTGGATTTCCAAATTGTAACATTTTGTGGGCATGCCCCATTGATTCTGCAACCCCAAGGTACCAGCCACCCCCCTTGAAAACTCCTGGATTCGACTCTGGAATGTCTGTGCATCCCAAGAGCATAAAGAACTAATGAATTATTATTTATGGCTTAAACTCTGTACGAGATACCCTATTGCACTTCTAGACCCTTTATATGGTATGCCTCTTCCCAGATACCTTTGCAGTACAGCAAGTGTCCCAGGATTCACTCTGTGAATTCCATCCAACTCTGCAATGCTTCCCTCCAGGGCAGCCATTACCAGAGGTGAGTACCGCCAGCTTGTGTCGCCATTGGCTAAAGTGATACGTTGTTGGAGTAAATCTCTAGCAGTCATGTCCTGGATCATTGGATGAAAATAAATCAATCAATCTTAACAGTACTGGTTACATATAGGTGACTTTAAATTCAAAAAGAACTTTATGAAATATGGAATCTCGTGCTTACTGCATGGTATGTTTTCAGGGATAGGGTAATTTGGGGAATGAAGCTTAAGACTAGGCTACAGAAAACCACTTACAAAACATGAAGTAGTGAATTTAATAAGTGTTTTCAGCTTGGGAATTACAATAAAAATTAGTCCTTTCTCAAATGTGTTAATTGCCAACTGAACTATAATAAAAAGTTACACGACACATTAACTGGTCATTGTTTTTACCTGGTAAAGCACAACAGGTTCAATATTGTAGCCCAGAAAATTGGCAAACTGTTGGACAAGCACACTTTTTCCACAACCCTACAAAAGAAGTATCGTATAAAGGACAATCATTTTCAACACGATGAAAGATAACAGATATTTCATATAATTGAATTTTTATTTCAAAATACCCCATAATTGCAAGTACCGGTATATTATTTTACATTAGGCTTACCCACAAGTAGTGCTGTACAAGCTGAGCTTGTAATGAGAAATTAAAACGACTGCGATGTTCAAAACCCACGAAGGACCTTGAGGAAAGTCAAAATTTACACCTATTCACAGTTCTTTTCAAAACGTTTCCAAAATATAACAGTGAAATCACTCTACTTCCATTTGGCTTCTCCAGCTTCCTACTGATAATCAATAATAACATATTTATAATGTTATCTGCTATGTTGAAAGACATTGTATCTGTTCTCACCAAATGTTTGTATTTTATCTACTAAGAAGTCCACCACAAAATTGTTTGTTGAAGTTTGACACAGTAATAACAATAGCGAGACATTGCAAATAGGAGCAAATGCTGACCTTTGGTCCAACAACACAGAAATCATGAACGGCGTGAGACTCCAGCATGTCTGCTAATAACTTTGAATGTGATTCTGTCATGACAAACTGCCAGAAAAACAAAGCACATGTTATAAGTCATGATATTAAAATATATTAAAAAACTAAGAGAGTTCCAGAAGTTGTACCTGTAATTCATCTGGTTTGTTCTCCTTTATGCGAGTCATGTCATTGCCAGCATGAGTTTCAAACACCGTGTTCCATTTTCCTGTGACAAGCTCAACAGATGCTTTGGACACAGAAGATTCAGTGCTTATTTTATTTATTCTACCAACCGACGTAGACAAGGATTTCTTGGTTTTTCTGTCATCAAGATTGAATGTCTGCAAGGAAAAAAGTGAAAGAAAGTTAATATGTAAATTTTAGTCAGAATAGTTCACAAATGAATGAAGAAACAAGCAGTAAATGAATGATATTCACTGTAAGCTACAGAAATGAGATTAGGGGTGGCACAGTGGCCTAATGGTTAGTGCCCTTGAATCCAAATCAAGTGGTCTGGGCTCAAGCCCTGGTGGGGATCATTGTATTGTGTTCTTGGGCAAGACACTTCACTCTCTCCACCCAGGTGTATTACGAATTTAATGCTGGGGGTAACCCTGCAATGGCTAAAATCCCATCCAGGGTGGAGTAGAAATACTCCTAGTCATTTCATGCTACAGAAACTGGGATAAGCTCTGACCTGCAGACTTAACCTTTACTTTAAGTAATGAGATTAACATAAAAGATATGACAAACCATTCCACAATGACCTCTCCAGAGATCTATATTTTAGAGTTCCAGTGAGGGGTTAAATTAATTATCAAAAGAGAGGCCTCTACTTTTTTCTAGGTTAGACAAATAGAAAAAAATTAGTTGACAGTGAAGATATATGGAGCTTCACTACACTTAAATTAAGGAAAGGATGGCTCCTGGGACATAATGTCATCTGACAAATAATCACAGTTAAAAACCTCATTTAATTTATAAAATGTTAATATTGAAGTAAAATTACTCCAATTAAGGACTTGCTACAGTTTTTTTGGTTACCTTGAGTGCATCCCTGACAACCTTTTGTCCTTCGTCACCAAATATGACATCATAGGGATACAGCCTGTGAATGAGTTCTTCTAATGAGTGTTTTGGATTTATGTCCTAGAAGAGATGAAGCCAGATTTTGAAAGTGAGTCCTTACCTTGAAAAACTTTCACCTTAAGCTCGTTAGGAAAAAACTTTCATTTAACACATAATGAAATTACTACGAAAGAGTTTTCAATTATCTAGGTACGGTAGCTCCAGTTTAGAAACTAGCCTCGACTTTGTGCATATGCATAACCACCAAGTAATTCCTATGCGCTGATTTCCTAAAATATGTGTGAAAAAGTTTTTTGGGACTGACCGCAATAATATTAGGGCTATTACAATAACCAGCATACACAGTTTATACGCAAGTGCTTGAAAAGAAGATATGCATATGCCAGACCTTCAAATTCAAACTGATGAGGTGCCACAAAAGTGAACTGACATTACTTACCATAATTCGTACAATATTTACAAGATTGTGAATTGGAAAGTCTGGAAGTCCAACAGAAGCCAGCTCTGTTGATTGTAATGTGTGTGCAAATGAGGCCAATTGTGATAGCCTGGAGGAAAAAATAACGAAATACATTGAATAAAATCATTATAATCGCTGTCATATTTATGATAACTACTGTGCGTAAAACAATTTGATCCATTAGCCAGGATGCAATGGAGGTCTGTCTGTCTGTCTGTCCATCCGTCCCTCCATTTGTCCATCCATCCGTCCGTCCATCCGTCCATCTGTCTGTGTGTAGCCATTAGTTGTTATCATTTTATTTTGTGCCCCATCCTTTTGATAAGCACACTCCTAAAAACCTGATATTTTGTCCTATTTTTCGCATTTAATTTGCAGACTGTTACAACACAGCAAAAACAAATTAAATTGATATTTTATTATTACATGTAAGTAATCTTTTTTTTTTTTACTAATTTGCATGTATTTATATTTTATTATGAATTCAGTACAAACCTTTCTTGGGGTAAACTGGGGCAGGCAGATTGAAGAACAGCAAGCTGATCCTTAATAAGAACAAGAGATTCAACTTTGTCTTTCATCCATTACAGTATCCAATGGGTTGAAACAACAAGGAAGCATAAAAGCTATTTTTGTGGGTCCTAAGTGATCTACAATTTGCCATACAGTGGCAATTTGCCCTTTTATTTCCTATAGTTTGCTACAGTTTGCTGAGTTAACTTAACAAAATCATTTACCAAACAAATTGCAACAGGCACAAGCATACGGGCACCTTTAGACTTAGGAGGGTATAAGCGTTTTGCCCCAGCTTGTATACTTATGGCTAGAGGTTAGGACAACTGAGAGAGAATACAATACCATCCAGAGAGAATTCAGAATTGCTAATCCAAACATTTGTCAGTTGCAATTTAAACACGAACCTTGAATGGTAACAGATGAATGTCTCTTGCTTGGAATCTTGATCTCAGTGGGGGATCCAGAGGGTTCCCATGGTAACGAGGCACAGGCAACCCCAGTGCAATGACTCTAAAGTCCTCACTGACTCGCACAAGCTTCCATGCATCCAATTCTTGTTCAGAATGCTCCTAGAAAAGTAGTGAAGTCAATGCGTTAACAACTTGCTTCTTCACAACACCAGCACATTGTTAAGCAAACAAAAGAAATGTTTGACTTCATCTGCCACAAAATATTGACATAATCACATCAAACTAAATGTACAACTACTTTCACTGGCCATGTTGCTATACACAAATCCTTGGTTATCCTTACAATTCTGCCAGAAGAGTAAGACCATAAATGTAGCTTGAGAAGGTTAGAATCACGTTCATAGGCAAAGGTTATCAGTGCAACTACTGTTATATATCTTATTTGGTTTAACGTATAATTATGATCAATCAAACTGCAAATACTTTTAAAAGAGCATCATATCTCTTGGCAGCCATCAGAAATCGTCCATCTTCTAGCTGCATCTCCCTGTGATTAAAAATTATAAATTATTAATAACAATTCATAAACAAGTATTTACAAATTTAGTATATTTAAAGTTGAAATTGAAGTTACTGTTAGCCACAGATTGCCCATGAGTGCCAGCAGTTAAATCTACAGTAATATGGAATGATAGTTCATTAAAAATTTTTCCATGACTCTAATGGTGTCACTGGGTGAGACAAATTGTGCCTAATGGTTTACACAATGGACTTAAGAATTGCAGCCCTAGTTTGGACTATTACCAATAAAATTATCAATTTTGATTATCGACAGGACACTTTTAATCTTGTATGCTCCAACTGACAAAATGATAGATCAGCCTGAGAAATGTTTGGGTTAAAGCAATATGGATCTGGCTGCAATCAACATCAACATCAACTGGTAAAGGAAATCAATTATCATTAAATATTGTAGTCCAGAAAAGATATTTGAAAGCAAACATTTTTGAGCTCAAATAACAACAAACACAAAGATGCAATCACCTATTTTCAAGAAGGTTGTTTAACACCGGTAGTACATTACGTTCAGCTTTCTCGATTCCCTCAAGTATCAGTACTCTTCCCCTGGTTGCAGCACGTACAGCACACTGGTCGACATAATAGGCAGTCCCTGAGGAGATTTCTCTTCGCTGTTTTAGATCTGACTCAGTGGTGTCACGAGACAATGCAATGTATTCAACTTCACGCTTGGTCAACTCCTATAATTAAAAATAAATAATTTAATAAGGAATTAAAATCATTTTTAATATTATCGTTATTTACATATTTAACATATTGAGAGTTTGTTTAAAATTCAGTTGTGTGTTTACACACTCTGAAATGAACTTTCCTTCATGAATTGGAAAATGAGTATTTTTAAACTTTATTAAAAGTATTTTATCAAGTTGCAACCATTCATTCCCAAAGTGGAACACTGAAACTAAGAATGAATTAAATTTTTATTAATCGTCCAATCAAGGTACAAATGTGTACAGTATCCAGACTGTGTTATTCATTGACAAATAAAAGTACATAGTTGGAAAACAAACCAGGTATTGCATGGCAAGCAGTCTCCTTAATGGCCCTGGAGGTCCAATAAGAAAAACATCCTGACCCAGTTTATCCTGTTCATAAGCAGCAAGAAAACAAGATGGTTAAAAATACGTAAGCTTAAATGCCAGGACAGCCCTGGAGTAGAAATGTTTCAACTACTTATTTACTGCACTCCTTCTGATCTGTAAGCTCACTAGTGGAGAGGAAAATGATTTTTATGAAGGAGTAAAAAGTGTACAGAGCTCACATTAATGCAAAAAAAAACAAAAAAAAATAGATATAAGTTTCTCTACCACTAGATCAACAGAAATCTGTAATAACAAATTTTCCATATTTTTAACTTTTGGGCTGTTAACTATTAAACAAGGAACAAGCTGTATCAATCATGAGTTCTTTCAGAGACCTTTTGCATGACCCATCGCAGATTCTTGAGCACTGATTGAGGAAGTTCTCCATTGACTGCAGAAGAAAAATCAGAAACTAACACAAAATATACAAAGTCACATTGATAACACCATAAAAAAATACATATTTTTTTCAATATAAACCTTTTACTAACTGAGCATAAGCGCCATACTGGGGAATATTGGCCTAAGGTTGTGGCAATACAGAACAACTGCAACAAGGTCCTTACAATAATGGCAGAGGGTCAATATTTCCCAGCAGAGCTCGAGCAAGCTAGGCTAGTTAATAGTTTATTATATGGCACAAAACAAAAAATACACAGCTGATTATCCTCTCCCTTGACTCTGTCTGTATCACAAAATCCCACCCAAGAAAGAACCAACCAGAACACTTCAAGAAACTACCTTGCCATATAATAATAACATTTTCAATCTTTACCTTCAGTTAATAAGTGATAAATTAAATAAATTTACAACTGAGGTTCACGGACAAATTTCCTTCGATTTGTTAATTAAAATGCAAAACATTACAAATAATTCTGACTAGTAATATTAATAGTTTATTTGGTTATCTTGACTGTCTACTTTACTCACCATACTTTACTGGAACTAACTCTGGAGAAGAGGGTGTCTTCAGTTTGATACTCACATCTCCAATACTAACAGCACCATCTGTTTTAAGACCCATTGGTAACATAACATCACATTAATAAATGACCAGACATTCCATTAATATTATGAGATCTATACAAGTCAAGCCTTTCACCAGTTTGAACACAGTTTGGAAGTTTTCCACAAAGCTATCGGGCTGTTCGCATCCAACTCATAATTTTCCATTTTTCCACACACACAAAAAAGGTATCCATGTGCATGATTTCTCTTCAAACCACTGAATAAAGTGTATTTAAATATCATAACTTTTTTAGCCTCTGTTCATAGTCCTAAATAAGTCCCCACCGGTGGGGCGGGGGGGGGGGGGGGGGGGGAAGGGGGAAGTACGCACATATATAAGCTATATCTAAAGGTATGTGTGGCTGTGAAGGGTATGGCTCTCAGGCAGTATATTATGCGATAGGATATAGAAATTAGACACTTTTGGTCTAGAATAGGGCATTATTAACCGGGAACGTGGCCACTGTACAAATAAATAATCTTTACCCGGTGTTCTATAATAGTTCTATACTATGCTATTCATACCTGAACACAGCTGTCTTAGAGGAACTCTGAACGAGTTAGCCAAGGCATGAAGACGCTTTGTGGCTTTACCATTCGACATCAACAAAAATCTAAGCATCTGGAGGCAAAATATCTCTAAACTGCATGGATCTGATCACTAACACAGCTGAAATCACGCATGCACAAATGACGTAACACGTGTCTAGATAGCATCGGAAAAGCGCTTTCAAGAGCTGCTAGATTGGGAAATTATGGCAAAAAATCGAAACTTAACAACTGCAAGTACACATTTCGCTTCATAATCCGTCATGATCAGTGATTTTAAGGCATCTATATTCGCAATTGATCACGATGTTCTGCCCGCCATATTGGATTCCGAGTGTTCAACCTCGACTAGGAGTCTGGGGACTATAATGATCCATATTTTATATTTTCTTTTTCCAGTATTTTAGTTTCCTCTCCTTTACTTCCTTTCATTTGACTCCCATGGGTTTACATCAAATTTTCAAGATTGATAAAGAACATAATTATCTGGGTGATAAGCTAATAGAATTTTCAGTTTGTGAAATGTTTTCCCTGCATATTAGTACATTTTTTCCCATTTCTAAGGGAAAAACTCAAAATACTGTTTTCAGAGGTATCAGGTATGTCACTTGGACATGACAACTTACTTATATGGACAGGATGAACTTATTTCACGCTTCTCGAACCATGCGTTTGTAAGTTATCGTTGTTATAACGAACACATTTCTTTTTTTTTCTTTTCGGTCCCGCAGAATTGTCCTAAAAATATATATTTATATTTTTTGTTGCGGTACATTACTTGCAAAAAATTTCGGACGTTTTCTTTTATTCGGACAAATTTCTGGAAAACATCAAAAGATGATAGTTTTGTTGCACCCTCAAGGTTTTACGAACACAGTGACGAGGAAATAACACAAATAGTATCAAGCTGTTATATGTCAAGTAGTGTCTCAACTAAAATTCGCTCCATAAAGCCCGGCATAAAGGAAACTAAGAGCTTTGGAGCTACCGTACTGCAAAATTTTATACTGTACTGTAAATATTTCGGACGCTTAAAAATTTCGGACGGTTCTATTTTCCGACCCTTTTTTTTTTTTTTTGCTTTCATTCAGTCTGTATAGGCTCAATTGCCAGCCGTGTGTCTCTATTGCTTTTATATAAAAAGAAACCTATGGATGAAATGGATTTATTCAATCTCGTGGGAACTGAAAACACATGGCCAATATTTCAACATTTCAAGAAGTGGTACTTGTCTAGTCTTGAGTTACAAAATGAGCGCAGGTGGAAATATCGAACATTGGCTAAGTAATAAAATCTTTGCATTTCAAGTTGTTTATCAAGTGGATCTTCTAAAAATCGTTAATCGTAAATAATCTTTATTACCAGCTATTGCTTTTCAGTCTGTCCACAGACCTCTATATTGCCTTTTGTTCGTCGAGATCGCAAGCTCAGCAAAATACATGTATTAACCCAGCGCGTGCGATAAGAACGAGCCAAAACACATATTTGTAGCCGGGAGTCATCTTTCAGGTTTTTGTCTAAGGAAGATACAAAATTAGATCAAAACACCTCGGAAGGAAGGCTCAAGCAAACAGAAAAAAAAACTGGAAAAAAATGTTTGCCGGAGCTTGAGGCGTGGCTGAAAAATTAAGTTATTTTATTTATTGTTCTGATTTTTGTTTTTGGTGTTATTAGTAAGTTTAATATTTGTTTTATACTGCAATGACAGCCCAACTGGACTCGAACGAATTGCTTTTATGTGTATTCGATGAGGCCAATATTGAACGATGAAAATAGTATAGATCATAGTAAAAGTACCCTATGTAGGTACGTGACTAGAAACTGTAGGCGGCGAGTTTCCGCTCGACCACTATCAGCAATAGGCGGTTTCCTTTTCAGATTAAAAACAAAATGAGAGAAAACAACTGTTGTGAGCAAATATCACTTAGTTAAATTAACTTGAAAGAAAAGGCGTCCTTGAGCGTCTTGTAGAGAAATGATGTTCACTCACTGGTAATGTTCATACTCTATATTTGGCCGTGATGGTTCGAACCGGAAGTGGACATGTAAGTGTGGCAGTCCATGGAAACCGCGCCTTAGCGAAAAAACTTCAAGATGGCGTGAGGAGAGCAGTTATTGCGGAAGAGCGATGGTAGCGTTTCAGTGACACCTAGGACCTTTCCATGAGGGTTTTTCGCAAGATATTTAATGCTAAGCATTTCCGTGCGGGAGCAGATCAAAGTGAACCCCGGTAGGGTTCACGGAATGCGCAAAATGTTCTCGCCATCATGCGTTCTCGCCGTCCTGCTCATTTTGAGCTCCTTCGAGGCGAGCTGGCAAGGAAAACATGGAAAGAAAGGAAGCTATAGCGTCCCTCTTTTGCGGACGAAAAGAGATTTACGAGATAGCCGTGGAAATCCAACTGAAAATCTCAAAGGCCGTCCTGGTCAAGGTTATTACATTTCGACTGATCTTGGAACCCCCGCTCAGAGAGTGAGTAGCGAAGATTTATTGTGTGCAACGTTTATGGTAATATCCTTCGCCCACAAACATCCTCTCTCCTTTACACTCTACCTTTTCCATTCGTCATGTCTTAAGCGCCTAGCTTTTCTTGCTTTATTTACACCTCTTGCAAAGATTGTTAAATATCAATTCTGCGTTTTATACCGAACTAATTGCGAATCTCAAAGTCATCGACTTCATATATGACATCGATAGCCTTTTCGAATACGACCATTCTGGTGTATTATCAAATTAAGACAGAAAACTGAGCTTATAACTTATATTGAAACAGATTTTATAATTTCAAACTGCAATGTACTGTTTCTTTCTTTATACCTTAGAGTTCGACACGTACGCGAAAGCTTATTGTCGTTTTTCGCGGAAACGGCAATTGTGTCGAACATGAATAAAATCAAGAGAGAGACAACGAAAAATGATCTGTAGACCTTTTGTTCTTCATTCTCAAATAACCCGTGTGAAAAGGGGAATTTCCGTTGAACGCAGTGGGGTTAGCGCTTTGAATTGGGTAAGCGGAATCATGGCGAAATTACTTTCGAACGACTGTTGACTTTTGTGTTTACTCAATTAAGCACTTCTTGAGGTCGCAGCTGTTTCGTATGTTCGCTTTATGTAGTAGATTGATTGTCGCTGAAAGCGACTCCGTGTTTTAGCTTGATTGATGTATTAAAAGATAGGGAAAAAGGGAAATGTGTGCATATCCGCGACAGTCGTGGTTTATTTCACCGGATAACTTGTGCTTATCGGTACAAAGTATAGAATTGCGGTTTTAATTTTCAGCACAATTTATCATACGTATTTTGTTACAAACGTTTGCCGATCAGCCTATTCGCGTGTTCGAATGTAAACCATTAAAAAGCCAGGCTGATAGTAACAGACTATGAAAAGAGTAAACATCTCTACCATCACAAATTGTTACATTTAACGTTAATCATATGTATGAAGAAAGTGATTCTAATCAGTTAGAAGCGTTTCTTCAAGAATAATAATCATTGTCTTTTGGGCTACTTCCATTACAGAAATACTTTATACTGAAAACATGTTACTGATAAATGATATTTATTTCACCCCAGGGGCTCCCTAAAATTAATTTCTACAACTTTGATCCTTATCATGCAGTCAGAGACTTGGCTGATTTTGTTTCTCTTTTTCAAAGTGTGTTCCAAAGTAAACTATATGTAGTGTATTCTGTTTCAATTACAAATGAGAGAAAACAAAAAAGCAAACAAAAATTTGTCTTAATATCCGACTTAGTGTTGCCGCAATAAAAGATGAGGACAATTCTTATTAATAATTCAATTTTTATGATCTTTGATATCAGTGTTACTTTGATTTTTTTTTTATCTTACTTATGTTGGCCTGTGAAATAGCATGCCGTCAATTTTTTACATCCAAACACCTATAAAAAATGGCTGAACATTTTTGGCATCATAAATGTTGTGGTTCAGTTTCACCCATGGTACAACTTGGTATTTTTCTTTGTTCTGTTGTCTGGTAATATTATAATGTATGTGAATCAAAGGAAGATACCAAATTATACCAAGAGTAAAATCAAACCACAATATTCAATTTGTATCCATCACAAGGTTAATTCAACTTCCTCTGGTTGTTATAAAGGTGGATAACACTATCCATCAGATAAATTATTACTTAATAATTATATTACTTATATAATTATCCTTGCATTTTAATTGATTCTTACTTATGATCTATTAAAGGACAGATGCATATCTTACTTCATGAGCGATTATAGATTTTGTTTCGTTATTATTAATATGAAACAAGTAGATTCCATGCTGCCATGCATCTGTTCAGTAATAGATCACAGAGAACACCAAAATGTGGTAAAAATATCAGTGACCCACTCACCTAACAGGCTCATATGCCACATTTTGACGTCATCTGTGATCTATTACTGAACAGACACATGGCAACATGGAATCTATTTGTTCAATATACAGTGGCTAAAAGTTATCTTAATCAATGATACTGTCTGCAGGCTTTTGATTTAATGGGTAACATTATCTATCCTCTGAATAGCCAAACCTTAAGGACTAAACACTTGAATGTGCTGTCTTAGATCTTCATCACAGGTTATGGAATGATAGTTGTGCAATTTTCCGTTACTTCTTATCTCTACAGATAAATGTTCTTGTTGATACTGGAAGTAGTAATTTTGCAGTTGCAGCCTCACCACATCCCTATCTTCCTTTCTACTATCACACAGACAAGTGAGTAGCAATATATTATTAAAACTAGTGTAGAATGGGAGGAGAGGAAACTATATCAAAGCAAGAACTGTTTGTACAGTATTGTGTATTGACAATCAAAATACCAAAATCATAGCACCCTAAACATTCACCAGAATGGACCCAACTGTCAAGATTTTTTCTAACAATAACTTGAACATTATCGACTTGTTATTATGCATGATTAAATTTCACTTTTCTCCCAAAAAAGCATTCTAAGGCAGTTTTGGGTGCTCTCCGTAATAAATAAAAGTTGAATAATGACCGAACATACATGTATAGGACAGAAAATATTTTTCATTTCCTGTAGTTTTACTGAATTAGAACTAAATGAAAAGCCATTGATACAAGAATAGTTGCCAACCAAATCATGTCAATGTGACTTTTTTAGTTTGTACCTGAGCAATCTAAAAGATAATATTTTGGTTCCTTTTGAACCTCAAGGCTTAATTAAGTTGATGAAAAGTCCACCTCCAGCTCAAGAGTGGTTTTTAATGCACTTGACAACAGATTTAATTTTTTTTCAATTATGTTTTGACAAGGTCGACTTCATATCAAGATCTGAACAGACCTGTGGCTGTGCCCTACACTCAGGGGAACTGGGAGGGAAAGTTAGGATCTGATGTTCTACGTTTTGTTGAGGGGCCAAATGCCACTGTGCGTGTCAATGTGGCAGCCATTCTGTCTTCTGAGAATTTCTACATCAATGGATCAATGTGGGAAGGTATCCTTGGGCTTGGATATGCGAGATTATCTAAGGTAAGTTATCTCCATGTCTGTATACCTATATATCTAAGGAGAAGAGGGGCTGAAAGAGCTTTGTGAGTTGTTTTTTGAGGGGATGTACATGTTGAAGATATCATTTCCATTGACAACGGTGTACATGTATAATCAGTTACTGCTTCATTCACAGCTCCCCAGCCTTTATATCTTCTTTACAAAAATCCTATGTCAGCAAACCCTCACAGTGCAGACTGAGATAAACAAATGAAGACATTTTTCTTTCTTTTTTTTTTCCTAGCCTGATTCAAGTGTGCTTCCAGTCTTTGATCAATTTGTCAATGACGGAGTTGTAAAGGATTCTTTTTCCATGCAGTTGTGTGGCAGTAGTGAGATTGATTTTTCTTCTGAACCAACTGTAGCTGGAACTATGGTAAGTTTTAGTAGTATAGCTATTACTCTTCATAGCAATAACTACAAATGTTGGTTTCCTACTTAGCTATTTGGGAAAATATTCATAGCTTGTCTATGACTAAGCTATTTTACACATCAGATTTCTAAAAGTCCAAAATGAAAATAGAAAGTAATAAAATATTGGTAAAACAGCTGGGCAAAGTTGTGTTCATGGCCAGTCAATTTGGCCGGTGCCTGGCCCTCAGTGAAACCCAGACAGACATATGAAATCTCTCTACTCTCAATCTTCCATTGGAGAACAACCTAGGGTGTCTGTTTATGGGAAGTAACTGAAAGTTGTTGTTACCTAATAACTTAAGATTTTTATTTATTATTTGTTGCTTATAGGTTTTTGGTGAAGTTGATAATGACTTATATGAAGGTGATCTTCTATACACTCCAGTAGTAAAGAAGTGGTACTATGAAGTCGTCATAACTGATATTGCAGTTGGTGGAGAAAGTTTAGCTTTAGATTGTAAAAAGGTAAACAAAAAAGAACTTTTTTGTGACAATCGTTTTGGTGATATTTTTTGAAGTGAACTGCAGCGAGATACATATAGGTTCCTCAGATGGAAGTTATAATAAGCATTTCAAATTTGTTTGGTTGACTTCATGATTATCACTGAACTTTGCAGCCAATACCTATTGGGTCTTGATCAAAAAAAACTTGTAAGAAATATTTTCAGAAACAACATCACACTTGTGATTTTGCTGAACAAGTGTGGATATTTTCAATTGACAGTTTCCAAACATTGTGTTGCCAAGTTTTGGCTCTTTCATGTAAACAAAGGTTTTTACTTAACTATTTTTCCTGCAGTACAATTATGACAAGACGATAGTGGACAGTGGTACAACAAACTTAAGAGTTTCAGAAGAAGTATTTGATGCCATTCTTGATAGACTCAAGAAATTTGACAAGGTGAGTTAATTTAGTTACATGTACGTCTCTCCTGGCAGGGAGTATGGCTAGATAACAAGGTTTCCAGACTGTAATGATCAGTCCTTTAGGGTGACCTTCAGGAATTGTAGGAACACGTTTTGTTTCACGTTTTAATAATTATTGACAACTCTTTGTCTTACACTAGTGGAGAGAAACATAATATTTTTTATTAGATTATTATTAACAGCTAATCCCTTTTCTGGCATTGGCATTAACCAGAGTTCTAATTTTGCCTTTGACCACTTGTAGCTGGGTGTACCAGATGAGTTTTGGATTGGCCGACAAATGATGTGTTGGAACTACGACAAGACCCCATGGGAAGAATTCCCAGATATGTCCATTTCACTTCTTTCCTCCATTAGCAATTCCAAGGAGTTCAGGCTTAAGATACCGCCGCAGGTGGGTAGTTTGATTATTGATTAGTTTTCTGCATGCATTGCATGCCTATATAATGGTAGCTAAGTTATTAATGATGGAAGTCAGTGGTGGATCCAGAACCCTCCATAAGGAGTGGCAGCCTAAAGGGGGGAGGGGTGCTCAGGTCTCCCATGTTCCCCCCTAAGATCTATGACTTGATATGTTCCTAACTGTCATTACTGTTGCTCTTTGTAGCTTTACTTGAGAGAAACAATTGAACGTGGACCTCTTCCTGGACAGCACTGTTATAAGTTTGCAATCACTAAAGCTGACAAAGGTATTTATGACTTATTGCAAGGTTTCATTCCACAAGTATCAGACAGCGGTAGCTAATACTAACGGAACAAAAGTACTAAATAAATTTGCAACAGCATTGTACCTGTAAGTTCATGATGGGCAAGGAAAATCGATCTATTGTTATTCAGGGAAGTACCCTGCTAGCAGAGTTGCTTTGATCTTTCCTGGATAAGTCAGAAAAGAGGAAGGCCTCCATCTTTCCAGACTAATCTAGCAAAGATAGAAGTGACTGTACTAGCAAGGTAGAAGGCGAGAAAAAGGAACAATAGAAAAGCAGTTGTAATAGATCTTGAGAGTGGTGATATAGAATAGACCAATTTCAATAAATTAATAGCTACAGCTAAACTTACTATTAATAACAGCCGTTTCAGTTCAGTTGTTTTAGTAAAGGTTCTGTTATTTGAATTTGCTGAGGTCTATTGTTTTAGACTGAATTTTAATATATCGAAATTGGTGTACTGGTAACTAACATTTTTTAATTTGAATTCTCAGAACTGAAGTTATTTGCTATCTTTATTTCAGGCACAGTTATAGGAGCAGTGATTATGGAAGGCTTTTATGTGGTTTTTGACAGAGAAAATGTGCAAGTGGGCTTTGCTGCAACAACCTGTGGAGGTAAGTATTTATCTGGCTAAACTTACTATTGATAACAGTTGTTTCATTTCACTTTTTTTAGTAAAGGTTCTGTTATTGAATTTTTATAGCCTAGTTTTTAAATTTTGTAGTCTAGTTTTTCAATTTTAAATTTTATAGTCTAGTTTTTGTACTTTTATTGAATAGATAACATATTCGAATTTTACATTTTAATTTTAGCATACACGTTCACATTTAAACGAGCCCCAGGCTCACTGGTGAAATGTGTCGAAATAAAGTACTTACTTACAATTTACTTGCTTTTACTAATGGTCTAGATTCTGATAGAAATTAATCTTTATTTTTTTCCCTAACAGCTGAAGGTCGTCTCAACCCCAGTTCTGAAGTATCTGGGCCATTCAGTAGAGGTATGTTTGAGGTTTAGTATTGAATTAGCTTTAGGTTTGGAAGTTATCCACTCAAACAAATGAACATCCTGGCCATTGAATATGTTAATTAGGTTATTGTAATTCAGTTATATTACACAGTTGAACCCCTATTAAAAGGCCACCCTTGGAGAAATGGATAGAAGCCACTTAAAGGGGCCTGGCTGCTTTGTAGAGGTAAAAACAATAGTCAAGAAAAGTCCTCATTAGGGCTTGATTACTGGCCGTCTAATAGGGGTGGCCATTTAACAGGTGGCTGCTTAATAGCGGTTGGACTGTATTACAGCTGCAACTGTATCTTAGGGAATACTATGTACTCATTGTGGGAAAACTGAAATAAATGGTTCTTGTTGTTGTATATCCCATGTGTGTGCACCTCTTACCCTGGGAGCATTAGAATCCCTTTGGGTAAGAAATAGGTAATGTGTGCATTTCTGAGAGACGAATTGGATGGGAGAAGTAGAAAAGAAGATTCTCTCATCCTCAGAGCTCATTAGAACCAAAATCCTTTAAAGCCTTTTGCGAATGATTCCTGGCAAGTGACAGTTTGCTGACTTCAGAAATTACTATCTGAAGCTGCAAACAAAAGTATTGCAATTTTAATTGCAAAATAACCATTGAATATATCTTTTAGTGGGATTTATATTATTTAGAAAGCTGGAGTAAAGGCAATATCAATCATAGAATTTGAAGACCAAGACTATGAATGAAAGAATACTGCCTGACTACAATCCATAAATTCTATTTACTATTATTCTATTATTTTGTTGATTTCTTTGTTCTTCTCTCAGATGCAGTTGACTGTGAATATATAGAAACAGAAAGCTCAGATACTGCCCTTCTCACAGTTGCGTACGTCATGGCCGGTGTGTGTGGCCTCTGTCTTTTGCCGATTTTTGTTCTCTTGGGACAAGCAAGTTGTAAGAAGCGTAGACAACAGCATCAACCACTCGCCAGATCCGAAACAGAAGTTGCAACAGATAGCACACGCCTTAGAAATGACTTCTAATACATGTAAATATTTGTATAAAACAGTACCGTTTATTTTGTTAAACAGCCAAGAAGAGGCTCAGAATAGTAATGGGTTGGCAATCTAAATTTGGTAAAAAAAATAATTAAGGGTGTTTTATAAATTACCAGGTATATTAATTGGCTATAAATAAGTAGTAGATTAAAATAAAATCTTAAATAACTGCATTTTTTCTTTTATTTAAACAAGGGAAAATATACAAGAACCTAAACCAGTGTTAGAAAAATTCTATTACATTGTTTCCACTATTTTATAAATGGGATAGTATAAAATTTATATGATAGAAAGAAAATTAGAACAAAGTTAAACAGTTATTAGGCAGTCGTTAGTTTTTAGGACATCTGTCCTCATAATCAACATGTATGATGATAACATAAGATTGTGTAGAATACTTCTCTAATAATTATTACACGAAACAAAATGATTTAGTGACAGAATCATTACAAAATAGGGCAGATAGGGTATCTAAGTAGGAAACATGGTGTTTAAACAATAATCAGTGGAAAAGACAGACTCTCATTAGTGGAAGTTCTTTGAATTGTTTTCATTTAAGAGTTGACTCCTCACTGATTCCCATATTATTTAATGGTTCTATTTAATGTGTAGTTCCAGAATCCCTACCTCCCCCATGGAAGGGATTTTTTTTCTAAGACCCTCCCCCTTGAATCCCTCTGGAAATTCTAATTGAGCTTCATACATTTCTTTATATGTTTTGGTGTTACAGAACCCCCAGGCCCAGGAAATTTC